CAACATCCACCTAATTCCAATAAAGACAACAACGAACGCACTAGAACTAGCATTTGTATTTCTTCGTGAAGTTGTAAGACTCCACGGTCTACCACACTCGATCATATCAGATCGAGACTCAAAATTCATGTCAAAATTTTGGCGCAAACTACACTGAATACTCGGTATACAGTTGAAATTCACAACTGCATTCCACCCGCAAGGCGACGGCCAACCGGAAAGAATGATACAAAAAGTAGTACAAATATACGCGCGATGGTTAGACCAGACCAACGTGACTGGGCAGCGAAACTGTCGATGGCGGAATTCGTGATCAATGCGAGCTCGAACACATCGACAGGATTTGCCCCGTTTGAATTAATCTACGGCCATATGCCAAAGATGTGCCTAACAGCACCACTCTCGGACTACCCAGGAGTAAATGACTTCGCTCAAAAAGCGAAGGAGAACCTCATGGCAGCACACGATGCGATAATACATAATCGCGCTGCTCAAACAATCCAGGTGAATAAGAAACAACGCCCGGACCCGCCTTTGAGAAAAGGCGAGCTCGCATACTTATCCACAGATAAGCTGAACCTACCCAAAGGCAGGGCAGGAAAACTAAAGCCCTTATACATAGGGCCTTACGAAATTCTGGAAACATTTCCAGAGATGTCAAACTACATCCTCAAGTTGCCACCACAACTTGAACAACACGGAATCCACCCAAGATTCCATGTATCCCGGCTCACACCTCATGAGCCGAATGACCAGGAAATCTTCCCAAATAGGGAAGTAAACATATTCTACGATTTTGGGGAAGACCCCGATCGCGAAGCAGTAGTTCGCGAAATCCTAAACCACACGTGGGTTCACAACGAACTCTGGTTTAAGGTTAAATGGGAACTAGGGGACACCACATGGGAACCCCTAGGAAATTGCAACGACCTCGTCCACCTGGACGAGTACCTCACCTTACAAAATGTAAGGGAACCAGAAAAACTCCCTATCAAAGAAGACAGGGAACTCTCGGCATCACTACGCCCCCAAAAATGGAGGCGGAGGAAGTAAAGCCGAGGGACGATGGCCCACAGCCAAGAGCGTGGGAAAGTTCTGGGCGAGTAACTTGCCCGGACAGCCACACCATGTACTAGAGATCACATGGGCCAGGCGAGTAACTCGCCTAGACCACATGAACCACAGGCTCACGTGCAAAAGAACACACAACTGCGGTGAATCCCACGCATGCAAGAATGAAAACCCCTCCCACCACCACAAGAAACATAATGACAAAATGTTGTTCTCTGGGGGAGGCAACCCTCAGTTCAATCCAAACAAGCCACCGGACATCGAAATACGACAACCTGGGGAGCAAGGCTCCCCGGAACAACAACAACACCAGGCACAGATAAGCGCCATGGACTACACGACGCATGCAGCACAAATGAGTGCTGCGAACCAACAACCATCTGCATTGCTAACAGGCACCACATACCCCCAGCCTCCTCAGAGGGCTTCCAACCATACGCGGTGCAAACTGCACCGATGGCACAACAAGCGCCATTCCAGGGGCAGCATTTGCTGCTGCAGCCCCAGGCATACTCCCCAGGGAACTTCCCTGGCCAGATCAACCCCTGGATTAGCCAATTCGGCCCAGGTCCAACAACACCCCAGCCAAACGCAGGCTGGGAATCAGCTATCGCGTCAGCGGTAGCTGCTCAGACAGGTCAGCTCCGTGAGGAGCTGAAAGAGATGAAGTCCCTCGTAGGAGGGAGACGAGGGAGCGACAGCGGCTCCTCATCCAGACCGTCCAAACGGGCACGGTCTGATAACTCGAGGGCGTCAGAAGATGCCTGCAACCATTGCGCCCACTGGAGGCGTGAATACAACAGAGCACAAAGAGATGCTGAGGGCATCTTTGACTCTCTGAAAGACACAGAGAGAGAAGTCGATCTCCAAAAAAGGGAGATCGAATTACTGAAACGTGAGCTCAGAGAGGCATGTGCACTGGCAGACCTCGCTGCCAAACCCATCATGACGGGGGCCTCCCAGGTCAGGGGGAGGGGATACAGTGCCGGGGCACCGACTATCCCGCCACCCTGTGGGCAGGCGACCCTGTCCGGGTTGCATAAGGGCCTGCCCTCAGAGGGGCAAACCCATGTCGAGGGGAAGAGGGAGAGCGGTAGGCAACCGACGGCAGACCCTAAAACGGGGACCACTGCCAGAGGCGGCGGGCCGCTGAGTACCTCAGCACCCTATGGGCAAGCTACCCTGCAGGGAAGTGTCCACATGCTATACGAGACCACTGAACTCAACGAGTTCGGCAAAGTCAAAGCTCCAGTCGACATAACAATCGACCCCAACTTCCCCATGAGGAGAATAACAGGGTCAGAAGCGGCGCATGACAGCGCATACGCTTGGTGGACAAGCGTGAGTGGGAAAGAATTCGTACACTGGTACGAACAGGCCGAAGCCGCCTTCAAAAGCGGCAAGGTACACAGAACCCTTCGCGAAAAAGTGAAGGAAACCGAGAAATACTTCTTGGGACTCCCGAGTATTGCAAGACTCACGGAGGAATATAATTCCCCAGAGAATAAGGGAAAAACTCCTGGGAAAGTCTAGGCAAAGCTGCCTACTTAAAGTCCCAGTTCAAACCACTCAGGACTCCTGAGGAACGTGCCGCAAGAACTGTGGAACGGGAAGCGAAAGCTTCCAAATACCGGGAAAGAGACGCAAGTCTCCGTGCTGGACAACCAGCCCAACGACCACCCTTCCCCACGGGAAGAACAGTAGACCTACCATACTCTACACCTGAGCCAAGCAGCTCAGGAACACAACAACCCACTCCCACCCAGGGAGCACCCACTTCATTGAGCCCACAGCCCGACAATGTAGCCCAGGCTACGTCGTCGCATCCGACGCAGCAATCGGATGTCCAGATGAACAACCGGGAGGAAAACCCTCCTCCGGGGCAATGAATCCACCCTTGAGAGAAGGGAAAGTGACACGGTAATATGCCATCGAGGCGCCCTTGAACTTCCCCCAACTCGAGGCCCCACACACAATACTGTATGCGAGGAACCGCAAGTAACAATTGCGGAAATCTCCACTCCGTCAAAAGACCCACATCCACCACCGCTCGTGTGTAAACACCACTTACACACAAACCCTCACAGAACAAGTGAGGAACACCAAAGACATACAACCTTTGGGTTGAAATTCATTTTCGACAAACTCCACCATTTTTTTCTCTTCTCTCCCTGCGATACCAATGTATCGCCATTCACTTCAAAGTAACGGCCCACACTCATTCATTCCTTAAACCCCCTCTCTTTTCTTCACCGACATGTACAAAATCGCCCACTTTAAAGTGGCGACAACAAAACACTCATTGATAATTCCAAACTCAATGTAAATCAACTATTAAAACTCTGTTTTATTCACTATCAACTTTGTATGCGTCGCAAATGCAACGCAAGGGGGGAGAATGTCAGGGCAATAGCCCCGAACCCCGAGTCACATGTAAATTAGATACATATAGTCATGTGGGCAAGCGGGAACCTCCGGGTAACTGCTTACACACCACCGTAAAATACACTATCTTGTATCACTTACGGCCTTGTGTGCTGAGCCACCCTAAGACCTCACAGATACTCACCTCGGACCGGACACCGCCCCTCTCGCCACTCTCTTACCTTTCTCCTCTCTCCTCTCTCTGGTACTCTTCCACCAACCCCCTGCCAAGTTATGACCTTCCACCGCTGTTCTGTACTTCGTACTCGGGCACTGCTCATATCTTTGCTCCGAGCCTCTGTCATAGTCCCTACCTCGGACTTTGACTCCACCTCGGTCTTAGTCCATTGCATTGGTGACCTCATACTACGTAAACACCATTGCCAATATTCCTCGGACTTTCAACCCCGCCTCCATAACCTCCGTAAGCTCCGCAACCTCTGAGCTTCACGGATCGCCTTCGGCACTTTTGCCACTTGTAATGTATCTTTCGCGTTTTCCCCTCATCCCTATTTGGACTGCTGCTTCTTCCCATTCTAGCCAGTTAGTCATCATCCCCACTTCTCCTCATCCTCCTGCCCCTCTGGGCCTCGCCCTCCCTACCTCCTTTCGGATGTATCACAGGTCCTGTCTTATGACCTTTGTCTCCTTGTGCTTTTGCCCCCTCCATTATATATATCGGTGCTTGTACATACTCGTTTGGGGCTCAGTCCGAAATCAACCTGAAATGCCCCCTAGAGACTTCCTGCTCGCCTACTGTGAAATTAAGGACCAAATGGACAAACAGCAATGGCACAGCGCTCCGCTTGAGTCGCTGAGGCCAAGGTCCCTCCATGCTAAGTCCCCGATTCCACTCCGGAGTCGTCTGTTTCCGCCCGTTTCTAACAGAGTCCCCCCCACCTGGACTTCACCACTTTCGGAGCTGTCCTGTTAGAACGTGCGGATTCGGACGACTCCGGAATGGAATCAGAGACTTAGCATGGAAGGACCTTGGCCTCAGCGACTCAGGCAGAGCGCTGTGCCATTGCTGGTTGTCCTAGGGGTCCCTAATTTCGGATCTAGCAGAGGGAAAGTCTCTTGGGGGAATTCAAGATGATTTCGGACTGAGGTTACAAGTTACTAGGTACATTGTATATAAGGAGGGGTCCGGAATCAAAAGGAACAAGGGTAGGACGAAAGGAGACAAAGGGAGATGGAAAGAGGAACAACACCGAGGGTCAAGTGTTTGACTCAATGGTGTTTCCCAAAGGAGGAATGAAGGGCCAAGGCCCAAGGAGGAAGGAAGGAGGTTGGGAGTGGGGAATGGCTAGCTGACTGAATAGAAAGGAAGCAGCAGCCCAAATAGGAATGAGGGAGAATAGTGGAATTGAAATGGACAATGCAATAGTTGCAAGGTCCGGAGTAAGTCCGGAAAGTCCGAACTCGGAGGTTAAACTCCGGAATATTGGCAAAGGTAATTAAATGGAATGAGCTAACCAATACAATGGGTATAAGCGGAGGTGGGGTCAAAGTCTGAGGTCGGAGCTAAGACCGGAGGTTCCGGAGACAGAGACGCAAACGGGATTCCGGAGCGGAGGTCCGGAGTCGGGAGCATAGGTGTTGCGTACTCGTCTGGAAGGTGTCGAGGTTGGGGTCGGACCCGGAATGTTCCGGAGTCGGACTGAAGGTGGTGTCCGAGCCGGAGGTGGGATAACCTCTTGGGAGTCGGCAAGGAGAAGGTGACGGAAGGGAAGTAGGGCTCCGGAAGTCGGAGTTCGGAGTTCTGGGAGCCCGGAGCGGAGGTCGGGATTGTATGGATATGACATGTCCCTGACACAGGGTTACATCTCTCACACCATTATCCATAATAAATATCATATTTTCACACATACAATGTATATATATCATGGTAGTGTGAGAAGGTGGCCTGAGTGAGATGTGAGGGATGAGTGCAACTCAGCCAAGTTTCTTCAACCCCTTTGTGTTTGCCACAAGTCCATCATCATCAGGCTTTCTACTCCTGGCCCTTCCCTCTGAGGTAGAAGCTTGTTGGATTCTCCTTGAACTCTGGCGGGTTGAGATCGCTGGGGGAGCAGGTGGTTGCATAATTCTGCCAAGCTTCATGGGTGTTGCAGGCATTGAAATTGAAGAGGTTGAGGTGATAGAGGATTGGTGGGGCCGCTTTCCACCACCAGTTGTTTGCTTTGCTTGGGATGGAGAGGGGGTCTCTGGGACCACATTATCACCTTCATACTCACTACCCTGATCCCCAGTGTTCTCTTCAGGATTATCCATATCAACCTCCGATGTCTCAGATGTTGACTCCAGCATTGGCAACGGCTGTGACAATAATAATTGGGTAAGAAATGGCATTATTTCTCCAGAGGCAGATAATAGAATTGCATGCCTTTGTAGGTGGACCCTCATGCATCTTCCCCTTCCCCTTCCCCTGTGACTGAGATGCGATGTCCTCTTCTTCCCTTTCTTCCTCCTCCTCACTTGGTGGCTTTGCCTCTTCAGGATCTGTCTCCTCACTTGTTGACTTTTTGAACAGAATATATATATATATGAGTGCAACTTCAGATTCCATGGGAAAATACACTTACATCCCAGATATATAAAAAATCATCATGGCTTTTTAGCCACTCAGGAAGTGGATGTGATTTATCAGTACGGTTCTGAAAGACCATACACATCAATTAGATCATGATTATTGTTCAGAGCATATATAACTCACCTTGGACCCCTTGTATATTGTTGGCATTAGGAGCCACTTGGTCTGAGGAACCCAGTCCTTGAATGAAATGTCCTCATCATACAAACTGTAGCGAGGCTTAGAGGATGAGGATGAGCGTGCTTTTTCTTCAATTGTCTCCACTTCATCAAGGGACAATACAACAGAAAATCGTTGAAGACACTATTGTGGTGGATTAGCATACTGAACAGCACCTAAAGGACTGAGCATACTGATTCAAATTCGTTCCATGCCTCCACAATGTCACTTGAAATCTCCTTGGAGGTCTGCTGGCGACAGTGGATCCAGCCCATCTTCTTCATCATATTCCTGAGGGCATGAATGTCTTTTTGATTTCCTCGACGAAGGGAGTTGTACAGATGTAAAGGGGACTCCTGGTCATCACTCTCATCATCTGATGGAGGTATGCCTTGGAGTTGCTGAATGAAGCCTTTTGGGTCCTCAAGGTATGGATACTTGTGGGCCTTGGCGTTCCTATGGAGAGCCACCACAAAGTCAAAGGAGGTCGGCTCATGAGTGAAATGCTTGATAGCATCAAGAAGTCCTGCATATAAAGCAGCAGAGACCCCTTTCTTCTTCATGAGTGGTAGCCGACATTGAATATTGTGGATGGATAGAATGACCATGGCAATTCGCCATTTAGCAGAGATACGAATAAGATTGCTCCCAGAGCCATCTTTGAGGGTGAGGTGTGGATAAACAGCCATGGCACGGTGTAAGATATTGTTAGATCCTCTGCTTTCACGGTGTTTGGCCAGAATGTTGGGTGCAGAGTTCCAAGATTGGAAGATGGCTTGTGAATTTGCGAAAGCCTGACATTCCTCCTCCCATGACAATGGCAAGATACCACCAGACTTGAATAAACCATTTTGATGACCATCTGGTGGTGATGGCTGCTTGGCAATATCATATAGCCCCACTTTCTCGAAGTATGCTCTTGGGAGTTTTGTGGTATCATGAGTGGGTACATGGACAAAGGAAGAATGATCTGGATGAGTTTCCACCATCCAATTGGAGAAATGAGGAAGCATGTCACCAAGGACATGGAATGTAAACTGAAGCCCAATGAGAGTTTGCTGGATAGAGTGAATATTGAGTTCACTTACTACCAGTTCCACATTGTGAGGGTTGGTGATGAGTGGATCCCTATGAAAGGAATCAAAGAGGAGGTAGGAGCGATCATATGGATCTTCCTTTGGCCAATCAATGAGGTATGCAGAGATGGGATCTACCCAAGCATGAATCTGGGGACATAGTGAGTGAGGAGGTCATGACAAAAAAGAGAGAAGCCAGAAAACCAAAATCGTTTTTATGTTCGCGAACACAAAAACGATGGGGTTGGTATATTACAAATATTGTGGTTGTGGTTGTGAACAGAGGAACATGTTGTTTTTGTGTTCGTGAACACAAAAACAACAAATGGAAGGATGAAGGATAGTATCGTTGTTATGTTTGCGAGCACAAAAACGATAATGCTAATGGGCCATGAAGAAGCATGATTGAAACACATACCTCACGGAAGCAATGCCCATAATTCTTGAACATTTCTTCCAACTCTCCCACAAGTCCTGTTGTCATCAGGATCAATTTGATGTTGAATATCTTCCCTGAAAACAAGACATCGAAACAATTCAGAGCAGATGCTTTGATGTGGGGAGGAAGGAGCTCATCCGTTCGAGAAAGAATTTCTTCAATGGCCTTCCGGACCTCACCAATATATGTGTCATACCGCTGTTGCTGCATTGAAGTCATGACTTGGAAGACATCATCTTGATAAGATATTGTTTTTTTTTCGTTTTGACACCCCAGCAGAGGAGATCCCAGAAGTGGCCTCTGCCTTTTCCACAGCATCCCAAAATTCAGAGGAATAAAATCGTTCCAGATCAGACATTTGATGGTCTTGATCAATGAATGACGTGATGAAGTTGGATGAGAGGGCATCCAATTGTGCCTGGAGTTGTGACGAGGACTTGGCAGTTTTCAGTGCCGACAATGTCCCACGGAATTGATCATAGGGGAAGTTGGCATCTGATGCCGAATTAGAGAATATGAGACCCAGGAGCTCATTCTGCCCCTGGATGTATGTCCATAGATACTGATTACAAACATCACATTAGCTAGATGGATAGCATAAATGGTGATAAACTTATGGAAGCAGTGGAATTCAAGGTCTCCCCTGAAAGGTGATTGACAGTGAAGCCGTTCCAGGTGCGGTAGTATTTGCCAAGCCTTGTCATTTCCATCAAACCACGTGTTGTTCTGGGATCCTTGGCCAATTTCTCAAATTTACGAGAAAATGTTGAGTCACCTGACAGGTTGTGAAGGTCAGTGGTATGGGTTTGGGCAGAGAATGAGGTTGAGGACCACAATTGTGGCCGCCAGCCCGAGGCTTTCTCCATGGTGAGGAGTTGCTGGTATAGAGGTGCCAGCTTATCCTCCTCAGACGCAATTACCTCCACAGTGTCTTTATTTTGTGAAAGGAAATCAATGAGAAGATTCCCCAGCCGCTCCTGTGACTCGATAATATCTTTGGTAATATTAAACCTCAAATGCAAAGTTAACAATTATGGATGGGGGTGCTTACCAAGGTCCCAAATGTTGGCAGGCCATGTCTTTAACGTCTCCATCTTGACATGCTCCTGATTCAACGCACCCTGAAGGTCACTTAACCTTGCCTTCTCTTCATCGCTTAACTCTTTCTTGGGACAAATGTTCACTAGCCTCTCAAGGCGTTTCACCTCGTCCACTGCACGCTTGTATGCATATCGCAGGCCTGTTATTCTACATATGTGAATTAATTATTAATATTATGTAAGGGTCTTAGTTTGAAATTTATTTGAAGTATGAGAAGCAAAAGACTAACCGATGTTGGCCATTGATAACATGAACCTGGTTGGCGTTTACCGCTCTGCGACCAAGCTCAGTGAAAGTGATTGGGGGAAGGGATTTGTAGTTGCTAGTGTCAATCCCTAGTGGCCATTCTCCCTTATCAATCCAAGATGTCCTAACAACCAGATTCAGTGCCATGTCTGTAGTCAGGCGCCGAGGGCCTGAGTAGCGGTAAACGTCCTCAGCAATCTGCTTGGCTGGGGTGTCCTGGATCGGCCTGGCATTTCGGCCCCCAAGTTGAAGTCTCAATCCATCACCATTGTAAACCTGGAGTTCTCCCACTCCGATCAGCGCTTGCTTGCGGATCTGAGAGCACTGCACCATCTTCTCATCGGGACTCATCTGAATCCACTTTTCGGGCAGCATCAGGTTGAATTGGAGACCCTTGATATTCTGGACAGAGTCGAGTTCCATGAGACTCTCAACCTGTTGCAAAGATCCTGGTTCTGCTGGCATTTTCGAGATGGAGCGGGTACTCAGATCGTGAGAGATCGAGATCTGGAAAGATCCGATTAAATTAATCACAGACAATGTGACAAATGAGTCACTGTCACAACACTGTAACACGATGGGCCGGATTCCAAATAATGGACATAATGAGGCAGACAGCTAGTGGGTAGGGGTGGGGGAGCTGTGGCCAGCAGAATGACCAAGTACTGGCACATCATCTCAATTGTTCGTAATACAATATAATATATACAACACAACGGACCCCTTGGGCTGTGTCATTCTCACTTGTGGTGCAATGGCGGAAGGTGGCAACAAATCACTCACTATACTGGAGTGTCCATGGTTAGCGCAGTGAATTCCACACTAGAAAGACTCCCTTCGATCAGCTCAGAATCCTTCAGGACCTGGTACTTATCGGTTTATTGATCCAATGCGAGTACACAGAGGCAAAATAACAGGACACCGCTGGATGCCCGCCCTCCGACTCCTTCGGAATGTCTTATTGTCCAACCCTGGATGGAGATTGAGAAAAAGTGGAGAAACCGCCATTCACTAACTAAGCTGGCCCTCATTTTCGGCTTGAGAAACATGGTGGGCGCCCTCTGTTCACAGTAGCAAGTCGATATGGATTAGTTACAATTGTCAAGACACGAACAGGGAATAGTTGACGTGAACATTCACTTACAGCCCACAAACTCGTAATTGACTTTGGATCCCCAGGTAGAACCTCTGTGACGATATATATAAACTTCAGCGCTTGGAATCCTTTCTTGAATTTCAATGGCCGTGGTTAAGCCGACAACTCCCGCACCAATGACAACGTGATAGGCATCGTCATTGTTGAATGAACTATCGACAGCGCCGTTTGTTGGAGCTGAGGAGACCAAGTTATGAGTCTTGTACATTACGATCCCAACGGATGCAAAGGTGGGAAAGGGCTGATAATTATTATTGCTAGGACGAGGGGGAAGAAACTTGACAATCTCCTGATTATCTTTGACAGCCAGTCAGTTTGTGTAGATGTATCATCAGAACCAGGGGATAAGGTATTCCCCTCCGGAACACCTCGAAGCGCCGGAACTGGGTCAGGGTACTGGGTACTCTCGAGCTCGGAAACATTCCGGGGCCCGAAAACGGGACCATGGCACTCCTAGGGGGCTCAGGTGCTTCAGAGCTCGGGAGCTGGTCTGGTTGGTTTTCTTGGCACAGAGCCCTTCCTTCCACCAAGACACGTCGGTGTAAGAGACCGTCAACCATCATTCCCAGGATGCGATCAAGATCGTGGAGGGTGCTGCTAATTCACGGGCGTTCATTCTGATGTGGATCACAGCATCGAGAAAGAATGCGTTGAATGGGTACATCCATGTCCCACACCCAAGAAGATTGTCGGTTCTCAACTGCAGCAATCACTCTATGATCATTTTTATGTCGGGGAAAGGGTGTTGATCGAACAACACCTGAGGAACCGGCATCATTGACTCTGTTGTTCTGGATAATAAGTTACACTTGCCTGTATTGATGTGCACCCGAATGCATAGACATCGCTGAACTCTGTCTTCTTCTCCTCAACAATGACTTCATATGAAGAGTATCATATCCCAGCGGAGTCGATGTCGTCTGGGTAACTCTGGACAATTCATTCATTACACGGGACATACCAAAGTCACAGAGCTGCACTGCACCTTGACCACTTATCAAGACGTTGTCCTAGGAAGGACAGTGTATCTACGAGCCAAAGAGGGTCCCACTCACTGGCTTCAGATCACGGTGAACGATTGAGGGTTTCGGCTGTGAAGATGGTGTAGTCCATTCGCCATACCAACAACCTGATATACATCAAAAATAACAGTATGACAATCGCAAACTGACACTCACTCACCAAGTCAGTCCTACTCGAGTTTGGATGTGCTCTTAAATACTGCACAACATTCCCGTTTGCACACCATTTGGACACTAAGATAGCCTTCATGTCCGACCGTTCGCCTGCAATGGCATATCCGATGAACTCAAGGATATTGGGGTGCCGAAGTTCCTTCTAGTTTGGTTAATTTGCTCCGGCATACTGCTGGAAAGTGGCCGTAATTCTTTGTAACACACCTAGAATGATCAACATCACATGCATCGCAAACCACAGCGATGTGGGCTGGGACTCACTCGAATGGTCTGGGCACCTGGCGGGGCCCATCGGTCGCGTAGACAGAAGAGAACCCTCCGTTTGCCTTGAGCACCTTGACACAATGATCGAGTTCAGCGCTCACGTCTCGGACAGAGGACGATCCGAATCTAAACTCCTCGAGAAATGCTTGCGCAGCAGGGTCAAGGTAAGGGTTTTTCTCCATCGTTCATGCCCAGCCCATTGAAGACGAGTCTCCTTCCGCCGTGCTGGCATACCTTGAGTGGAATGGTACCGGCATGTTCTGCCAAGCCAAATGAGGAGGTCGATAACTTGGCAGCATCTGAATGGGCCCGTCCAACAAATCGATTCTAAAGCATACCTTGACGGACGCGAATCAGATCACCGAACATCAACAGGCAAAGTTGACAAACGAAGACCGCGATACACGAAGGCACTTGAGATCGTCAGTGAAGTTGGAATGATTTGAAGTTGATAGATGGTAACTGAACACCACATGGGAGTGGAAGTCAAAGCCCAATGAGAAATTGGTGAAAGTGAAGAGTCGGACAAAGGGTTGTTTGAGGACTGAGGATTACTATCTAGGATAGAGGCTGGGTCCTGCCTAAAAATAAAAGTGTCAATATGAGCCAATATGTAATGAAACGGCGATAAGGATAAGCCGAACCAATGAACCAACCAGAGATCGAGAAACGGCCGCTATGATAAGGTAGACCAAGAAATGAACGACGGATTTTGACTGCATAATGATGAGTGTGGACTCCTGGTTGAACCACTAAAGCCACTTACTGCGGGTTGATACGCTCCGGTGGCCAGAGTGAAGTAGTGATCACCGCGCTTGTGGATGTGCCTGTGAATTCGAAAAACGCATTCGTCTCAGTAATAGGATGCATATCTCTTCCGGGATTGTTACTGAGGAGGTAGTACAGGAAGAGAGCGAGGAGGAAGGGATGGACTCTTTGTTGACAAATCGAGGGATAAAGGAACCTCAAACAAATAAGACACAAGGAGGAGGGACCGAACTGGACGGACAAAAAGAAATCGAACTTTAATGAGAGAGCGGGAAAGAGAGGAGACATTGTGGAAGTGTGTCGACTGAGGTGGTAGGCAACCAATCAGAGCGCATTGATCGTAACTCGCCCTTTTAGTATGTTAGCAAACTTGAATCAGAAAGTGTGGAATGGGACTCGCAACCATGGGTCTTTTGTGTGGTGGGGTAGCGACAGCCTCGGTTTGAGCCAAAGCTTCTCGAGCACAGATGGCACAACTGGCTATGCAGTTAACCAGCACCAGTATGCGCTGACGGCGGGTACGGCAGGACGGGGCAGGAATAGTGTGACGGGTCAGAACCAAACACCGGCACTTGCCATGGGCACATCCGATGAGAGTTTTTTTCCTCACGGTCAAGATGGGTGTGGGAGGTCGCAAGGAGGCGAGGGAGTAGCTTACCTGAGCCCCCTTTCTGATACTCTCTTCACCGATGCCTCTCATGAACAGGAATAGCATGGCAGTCCGTTCCTCTGTGTGTTGGATAAGGCGCTCATCTTGGCCGCAAAGCAGCTATTTCTCAACAAAGTGAGTATATCCCACTTCCTGTGTATTCCATTCATTCATCTCATGGGGTCCTCCAGGAAGATTGTGCTAGGGACATGCTTCAGGCATGTATGCACGACATATGGTGAGACTCAAATCCTCTGGGCTCGAACACGGACTAAGGTCAATGTCATACTGGATATACCCAGCAGAGGACGAGGTAGGAGAAGTTCATGGTGGGCTGTTGTCTCATGCGAAGTAACATGACCCCGGTATGTATGTCCATCAAATGGCCCTTGGGGAAAATGAGTTGCGCGCTTATAATCTCATTATTCCCTAGCAGTGCGATGTCAGGACCCTGCGCTGAATTCTTTTCTTTGTTCCCCTCCCCCCTCATCCACTTCCGGAAGTGCCTTCCCTCCCTCCTTCCTTTTTTCTTTTCCTTATTTTTCTTCTTTGGGCTGCTGCCCGTGTGGGAACCCACTTTGGATTTGGATGAGATGGAACACCGGGATGAGTGAGGGAAGGGTGGGTGGAAATTACGGGGGACTAGGGGTCGGAATCAGGAGAATTCAACTTCATGTATAACAGTCCACTGGGGTGTTTTCGAATGAGACAGAGGGCTTTACAATCGTCACGTGATTTATGACTTCGAGTGTCGGAAAATCCCGTATATCGTTTAAACGCCTGAGAAACATTTCATGGCGTTTATTTACAACAACTACCCAACAGCACATGAGAATACATTGGGCAGATGTGGTGGTACTTTATGTGTTATATGAGACAGATTTTTGACCATTTTGATGCTGTAGGAAGCATTTATGACACATTTATTAAGTTATTAAAAATGTTAGAATATGTTTACTTCCCTATTTGGGAAGATTTCTTGGTCATTCGGCTTGTGAGGTACCTGTTAGAGATGAGGCATGGATTCAGATTACTCCGGAGTGGAATCGGAGACTTAGCGTGGAAGGACCTGAGCCTCAGCAACTCAAGCGGAGCGCTGTGCCATTGCTGTTTGTCCATTTGGTCCTTAATTTCACAGTAGGCAAGCAGGAAGTCTCTAGGGGGCATTTCAGGTCAATTTCCGACTGAGGCCAAAACGAGTATGTACAAGCGCCAATATATATAATGGAGGGGGCAAAAGCACAAGGAAACAAAGGGGATCCCAATGGGAATGAGGGTGTCCGAACAGGAACAAAGGGATGACAGAAGCGGAGCGGTACCGAAGGTCATAAAGCAGAACCTGTGATACGTCTGAAAGGAGGTAAGGAGGGCGAGGCCCAGAGGGGCAGGAGGATGAGGAGAAGTGGGGATGATGACTAACTGGCTAGAATGGGAAGAAGCAGCAGTCCAAATAGGGATGAGGGGAAAACGTGAGAGATACATTACAAGTGGCGAAAGTGCCCAAGATGATCTGCCAAGCTCAGAGGTTGCGGAGCTTACAGAGGCAGGGTTGGAAGTCCGAGGAATATTGGCAATGGTGTTTACGTAGTATGAGGTCACCAATGCAATGGACTAAGACCGAGGTGGAGTCAAAGTCCGAGGTAGGGACTATGACGGAGGCTTGGAGCAAGGTACGAGCAGTGCCAGAGTACGAAGTATGGGACAGCAGTGGAAGGTCATAACTTGGTGGGAGGTCAGCGGAAGAGTACCAGAGGGAAGAGAGAGGAGAAAGGGAAGAGGGAGGGAGTGGTGGAAGGAGAGTTGTCAGGTCTGAAGGTGAGTATCGGAGCGGATGGGAGAAGCGTAGGAGGGTGACGGAAGGGTGGAGGTGTTGTGAGGGAGGAGCGGAGGAGTAGGAGGAGTAGTAGTAGGAGGGTGGAGAGAGGGGCAGTGTTCCATCCCAGGTGAGTATCGGAGCCGACGGAGATAGGGGAGGAGAGGGGAGGAGGAGTGGAGGTGGCATGGGAGGTAAGAGGAGGTGTGTTGCCAGGACCGAAGGTGAGTATTGGAACGGACAGCGGTAGGGTAGGACTCTGGAGGTGGGGAAGGAGGAGGTCCGGAAGTCAGGTCGGGATCGGGTATGCACGGATATGACAGTACGAGCGGGGATACGTGGAATCTTGGGTGGATTCCACGTTGTTCAAGTTGTGGTGGCAACTTGAGGACATAGTTTGATGTCTCTGGAAATGTTTCCAGAATTTGGTAAGGCCCTATGTATAAGGGCTTTAGTTTTCCTGCCCTTCCTTTGGGTAGGTTCAGCTTATCCATGGATAAGTATGCAAGCTCGCCTTTTCTCAAAGGCGGGTCCGGGCATCTTTTCTTATTAGCCTGGATTGTTTGAGCAGCGCGATTGTGTATTATTGCATCATGTGCTGCCATGAGGTTTTCCTTTGCCTTTTGGGCGAAGTCGTTTACTCCCTGGTAGTCCGAGAGTGGTGCTGTTAGGCACATCTTTGGCATATGGCCATAGATTAATTCGAAGGGCAAATCCTGTTGATGTGTTTGAGCTTGCATTGATTGCAAATTCTGCCATCGACAGTTTCGCTGCCCAGTCACGTTGATCTGGTCTAACCATTGCAAGTAGTATTTGTACTACTTTTTGTATCATTGGCCATCACCTTGCGGGTGGAATGCAGTTGTGAATTTCAACTGCACACCGAGTATTCAGTGTAGTTCGCACCAAAATTTTGACGTGAATTTCCAGTCTCCATCTGATATGATCAAGTGTGGTAGACCGTGGAGTCTTACAACTTCACAAAGAAATACAAATGCTAGTTCTAGTGCGTTCGTTGTTGTCTTTATTGGAATTAGGTGAACGTTGGATGTCAACCTACAAATGATTACCCAGAGGTAATCATATCCCAAGCTTGTTGGGAATGGACCTGTGAAGTCCATAGCTATTGATGACCATGGTGTCTCTGGGGTAGGGAGTGGGTGAAGCAGTCCAGGATTTCTCCTGGTGCTTTTCTTTGTTGTTTGACAAGTTCCACAAGACCTGCAGAACTTGTGGGTATCCTTCCTCATCGACTTCCACCAGAAGTGTTGACGGAGGGTTTCCACTGTTTTCTTGGATCCTAAGTGTCCAAGTGTTTTGTGGATGTTTTCGAGGATTATTCCTCGAATGGACTTCCTGACTTCCTTTCATAGTTCCCTTTTGGGACTACTATTTGGGTCGTTCCTCCTTCTGTTATCAGCCCATCTTTTACGGAGAAATTTTTGAAGTTCCCCAGGCTCTCTAGGATTTCCCTGTGGATCTGGCTTTGCAAGTATCCAGATTTTATTGCCTCAACGAGGTCTTTCTCTTTGAGTTGTTTTTGAAGGTTCTCTTCTGGGATTATGATTTCTTCCAGATTTTGGGCACTCCCCCCTAGAGTTTCCTCTAGGTTATCACTCCCCCCTAGAGCTTCCTCTAGGGTATTTCTCGTGCGTATCACTGCGAGTCTCTTTCTCTCTGAGTTTTTACTCAGGGTACTGCTTAGTAGCAGTTCTTCATATTCCTCAATTCTGTCGGGGATAGTATCTTCTGCATTTTTGTCCAGATGGATGTCCACCGACACGTAGTACTGTGAGAGTGCATCTGCCACTTTGTTCTTGTGGCCTTCCACATATTTTATTTCGCAATTGAAGCTTGTGAAGAAGGCTTGCCATCTCAGGTGTCTACCTGAGTTGTGGTTTTTCGCTTTGAACTATTCCAAAGCTTTGTGGTCCATGATTACTGTGAATTCACGGCCTCCCATGAGATTGTCTTGCCATCTCATGAGTGCTTCGAGGACACCCAGTGCCTTGAGCTCGTAGGCGAAGTACCTACGTTGTGTGTTGGTGAACTTTTTGGACATGAATGCAGCCGGGCAGCAAGTCTGCCACTTTTAGCCTTGTCCAATTAGTGTGCCCATGCCTGCTGGGCATGTGTCTGTTATGACCCAGACATGGAGTTTGGTCCTCTCTTCTTCTGAGAGGCTTTCCAGTGGATTCCACTGGACCGGCTTCAGGATCAGAGCCCTGCATGCTAGACGTTTGATCTCGTCGAAGCATTTCTGGTGGAGTGGTGTCCACCTGAATGTCTGCTTGTTTGAGCAGATTGTTTGCAGTGGTCCTGTGTAGCCACTGACGTTTGGCATGAATATTGATAGGTATTCTACCATTCCCAGGAATCTTAGGACTCCTGTGTGGTCTACTGGCTCTCGCCAGTTGCGGATTTTTTCCATTTTATCCGCTTGAGCGTGGATGCCTTGTTCGTCCACACAGCTTCCTAGAACGTCTAGGATTGGGGCAAATGGCTGGAATTTTTTCTGGCTTATGTAGAATTTCGCCTCCTTCAGGTGAGTGAACAACCACAATAATGCTTTATTGTGGTTCTCCACCAAGCTTGTGCTGGTGAATATATCGTCAAACCAGACGTGTAGGTGTCTGCCTACTTCTCCTCATAGTTCCCAGGTCAGTGCGCGCTGGAAGGTGCAGAGAGCGTTGCAGTCTCCTTGCTGCATCGTGTTGGAGTTGTACGTCCCATGGGGCATAGAGAATGTCATCCTATGGATGTCATCTGGATCCACATGGACTTGTTCGTATGCGTCTGACATATCGATCTTGGATTGGTATGTTG